AAAACCTGATTGAAGTTTTTTTTTAACCTGTATAGGGCACGTCTTCACTTTGTGGCGACCTGGTATGGTTTGGATACGCTCGCTCGAGGAAGGTGAGTACCTCATTACCTTTCCTTGCCACAGAGTTTTTCAATTTTAATATCGAAAGCAACACCAAAAAAGAATGATTATATTTGGCGAGTGACGTTGAGATAATTTTAATGGGTGCGTGGCCGTGCCATGTCCCAAATATTTTTTGTTTAAACAATTTCTACGGAGAGATGACGTAAGTAGTCAGAAAAGAAGTTTTATCTAGGAAACTCCCCATAGTGCAAGTTTTTCGAAAACGTTTGAAAGCAGTGCAATGTAGTACGATGCCATTTATAACAAGCGGAGAGTTGAAGTGACGTAGATGAATTTTATTTTTCTAACGCAATTTGTAAGTTGATTATAGAAAACTGGATCACCACTCGAAGATAACCCGGAATTATGCGTTCAATGGGTACATTGAAGGGGACTGTCAGAGGAGCATGTGCCATTCCGCCGGACTGACACAGCCAAACCCTGCGAAGAGCAAGGAAAGAATATCAGTGACATTAATGAAAAGGAGGGTCGGAAGGTTCTAGAATTTAAATTTTTAAAATTTCGAATGGCGATGGAACATTTCTGAGAAATTAAGAAGAACGGCCATTTTTGGCAGAAAGCCAGAAGAAGAGAGACATTCGATTATACGAGACGAAAAACGGTCAAGTGAAAAGGAAGAAAACACGAAGTCTCTTATCGTGACGATCACGCACGATAAAACGTATAGTGGAAGCCGATAAGAAGAAAGGAGGCTTGAGTTGGACGTCCGGAGCGGACCAGTACCCTTCCGTGCCGCGCAGTTAGAGTGATAACGAGGTTATCTCTGGAAGAGTACGGAATTGGAGCCGCATTACTGCCCTGAACATTTGAATTAACTCCAGTATTGTTCAGCATTTCAGAGCAGGAGTAGCTTAAAAAAGGAAAAGGTCAATCCATCTCCAATGAATGTAGTAAATAAATGTCACTAAAAACGATATTCGAGCCGTTTTCTTAATAGAAATCACGTAGTCTGGGGAGCCGAGACCCAGTTATGTGTTTGATTTTGCATGTAACGTAAGCTGATCAAAAGTCGTTTGACTGATGGCCTAAAAAAGGTAATTTTTTACTTAGCCCTAAAAAGACCAGAAAATCAACTGGCTAGGTCGAGACGGTGAAAAACGGATAGAGTTTAGATAACTGACGCCGGCCAGTCGTCAAAAGATGCTTTTTCTACGCCCCGTCACCATGTTGTTTTTGGCCGAATGTTACATGGTTAAATCTATTTAAATCATTACCAATTGTTCTTTCATTAACATAGTTCACATTAAACCAAATAAAGGCATTGAACATTGGTCTTTTTTTGGAGTCGCAAAGAAAAAAAGTTAAACAACTGATATGAAACTGCTTAGAACAAGATTCCCATCTAAGTCAATTTATCTTTGCTTACACATTGTTGCTTTTCTTCATCTTAACACAGCAAAAGGGTGAAAATGCGATTTGGACTAGACTTTAAGGGACTAAACTAACCCATGATAAGCGGTTAGTGAGAAATTTGTAGATAATAAAATAAATGGGAATTATAATAAACTTTAAAATCAAAGCAAAAGAGGAACAAAAAAAGAAACGTTCTCATCCAAGCTCAGCCGGTTCAGCGGTTTTTATGCAGACACTTCAATTTAGTTTCAGTTTTCCCCTTAAACTCAGGAAGCCGCTCGATTCGAGTTGTTTCTGTAATCTTTTAAACAACAATTGAAAAAGAGGCAGAAACACGTCTTTTTAATATAAACTTATCACCACAATAAGGCTAAAACAAGAAAAAAATCACGGATAAACTCATAAAAAACTTTGTATTGGAAAAAATTTTGCGCCTCTGTGTCATACAATTATCAGGGGATTTTCCGCTAAAGTGTTTGACTATCTTTTGCTTTTCAATTTTTTTGAATTACTATCCAAATCATGAAAAATTTTTGTTGAAATATTGGACTATCGTTTGCGTTTTTTTTTGCGGCCAACTGTTCAAAACGTAAAATTTTTCTACTTAAGTTTAATTGAAATTTGGGTTAAAGGGTTTTGATTTTGTATTATTAAGTTCCTAATCTTCTTATCGCTTTTTTTCGCCTAAATGAGTTCGGCTCCTGCTTGGTTTCATCCACTCTATTTCGCTTAAAGTTCAAAATGGGCTTTTCTGGGTTTCAAAGAATAGAACCATAAACAATGAAATTCGAAAACTTACGCTCAAAATTTTCTCTAACATCACTTTGTTCTTGGCTCAACTAGCGCATACCTAATTATTCTTGACATTTTTGCCGTTCAAAAAATGATTTTGAATAGATATATATTGGCCCTGATTGTTTAGTTCGGCAATTTTTCCCCTTAACTAAGATTTTTAGAGCCAGTTTGGGGAAATTTTGTAGAAAAAAGGTTTATAATTTTCAAAAACAAATGTATGAGCGTTTTTGCTCTCACTCATTTTTCTCAGTTGCTCTCAAACCTTAGTGACTTAGTTGCTTTCAATCCAGTGAGCTGGAAATTAAGAATATGCGAGTAGTTTTGACTCAGAGATATCACTTGACTAGTGTTTATTCAAAAATCAGCTGTGGGACGAAGAAACCAGTGCAAGTTTGCCGCCGAGCAAAAGCTCGAAGAGTTGAGGAATCTGGAAGGTATACCGAAAAGGAGTAAGCTTTTATTGTAGTATTTTTGCTTGCTGAGTGTCGCGTGATTTTAGCGTCGCGTGCTCTTGGCCTGCAGGGAGAATGACCGCAATATTGAAGCCACCCTTTTTCTGAAATAGATTCTAAGAAAAACTGACGCAAAAACTTATTTGAGTTATGACCGATGGGTATAACTCATAGAGTAATTTCGGATAGGGTACACCGTCTGCTCGTCACGCTATCTTATTTTCGGCCGGATAGATTCTTTTTGTTTTATTTCAGTTATTTTGAAGAGTTACTCACCCTTGAGTAGCTCTTATTAAAAATAGGAGTATGGTCACAAAGCGTGGATGTAGCGCGGTGGGTTAGGCCGGCTATAGAGCATGCTCAGGACGTCCTTCCTGGTGGGTTAGGCCAGGAGTGGGAGTATGATTGCATGCGGTTTTTGTGAGAGGTCCTGTTATGTGACAACGTTTTATGTTGGGTTTGTTGTGGTTTTTCTTATGTTTTGTTGGTTGTGTCCTTTTTTCAAAAATCAAATTTTTTGTGGTATGGGTTTGTCTTTCGACTTTTTTATGTTTTATTATTTCTTTCTTAGACTTTATAATAGTCTTCAAAAGAATAAATTATCCAGTTTTAAACTGGGTTAATCCGGTTTGGGTACCGTTGGTTTCCTTTTCTTAGTCATGCTGTTATGCTATGTGTTGTGGTGTTTAGTAAGCTGCATTGGTTAGTTTTGTTTAGTATATAATTCCTTTCCAACCGGGTTAAAGGAAAGTTTGAAACGTGTTATCTTGTGTTAGAGTTATCGAGTGTGAAAGCTTGAAACTGAAATTCATTATTTTAAACAATTCTTCGTGGCCGAGCTGTGCGAGTTTGGATAGAATTCTTGTGCGAGTGAATGAAAATAGCAAAAGGTTAGTACTGTATTTGCTTCTTATTAATTTACTACATAGAATTTTATCTTTACTGCTAGTTGTTGGGGAAAATTAAGTTACAGATTTTCATCTTTATTAGATTTACTGCTTGTGGGGGAAAAATTTATAAATTAATTTACTGCATTGGTATTATATTTATTTAATTGTTGGTGCAAAAATTTAATAGGGTTTTAAACAGTTTTGAAGAAGTTTGCTATTTTTTATTTTTCTTTTGTGAATTTTTCAGATGATCTAGGATGAAGGCTAAAATTCTAAAGAAAACATGGATAAAGAATGGTGAGTTTCTAATATTTAATTTAGTTAGTAATATGTATAATTCATACTTACCTGTTAGTCGTCGGGGAAGAAACCGTGGGGGAAGATGTCGTGGATGAGATCTGAAGTTGTTAGTAATTTGGCTAAGATGCGGATGATATTTTTAGTTTGAAGCAGTGGCCAAAGCAATTGAAGTGCCTTAATGGTGGTTAGTTCTTCAGTGCCAACTGCAAATTCATAAGGTGTGTTTTGGATTAGATTATATAATTTGTGGTTGAATTTAGTGTTATGGATGAATTCTAAAATGGGGATTTCTATAGGTTGTACAA